TTCCTCTGCTTACTTCCTCTTGATCCAAGAGATCACATTAAAGTAATCATTCAACAAGTAAAAAGTAAAAGGGGAAGAATTAAGATCCAGATTTTCGAGGGAAAACATTATAAAATTATGTTGCAGGGGGTGAAAGTGAAAATTGTATTATGAAATGGGATGGAACATAGATTTGATATGTATTTTTATACAATACTCCATATTTTAATATGTAAATATAAATAATATTATCTGTCTATATAATATTCCTATCTCCTCAATCTTCTCTTTAATCTCTTGAGTTAATATTTGCCTTTTTTAAATCACACATTGATTTATTGCATGTCCAGGCTCCTGCTGTGGTCCTGGCTGAATTGTAGCGATTCTATGAGCAAGTATTAACAGACCACATTAACAATATTGAAAAAATGTTATTGTTATATCGCTTTTGAAAATGTCTACTTCCATTTTCAAAGAGCAAATGCCATTGGTTCAGTGTTATATTTGTATTTTTAAACATAAACTATAATAGATCATCTTTATTTCCTCAGCTGAGCAAATAAACTTAAATAACTGCAAATAAGAGCTGGAGTTCTTATTTAATTTTTGAAGAGTGATGCTGCAGCGCCGAATCTAAGACTTAATTTTGATCCATTGCTTTTTTTCTGGTGTTCCTGGATCATTAAAAAGCACCCACCCCAGCCGAAACCGGTTTGGCTCAGTGGATAGAGCGTCGGCTGTGGACTGAAGGGTCCCGAGTTAGATTCTGGTTGGGGGCATGTACCTTGGTTGCGGGCACATCCCCAGTGGGGGGTGTGCAAGAGGCAGCTGATCGATGATTCTCTCTCATCGATGTTTCTAACTTTCTGTCCCTCTCTATTCCTCTCTGTAAAAAAAAAAAATCAATAAAATATATTTTTTTAAAAAAGCACCCCCCCATGTGTAAACTAACATTATTGTGGTGAACACTTTGCATTATATATCATCATAAGATTGTGCACTTTAAACCTATACAATGTTATATGTCAGCTTTGGGAATTGGACCAAACCGGCTCTCAGACATCCCCGAAGGGTCCCAGATTGCAAGACCCCACCATCCAGCACGATCGGGGCTGGGGAGGGACCTCAGGAGGGCTCCAGGGGGTGTCTGGCCCATCTAGCCCAGTACCGATCAGAAAAGTCAATAAATAAAACAGCCCACCTGTCTCAGCCGGTCGTAGGAGAAAGAGGACAAATATATTTAATTTTTTGGTCACTAGTTAAGGTTGTTTATACTTAAGTAGACCTAACCAGTAGTTTTCCAGATTAGGGTCCCGCCTCCCCCCCAACTAGAGCTGAGATATATAAACAAGGACAAAAATTAAATGGGGGTGGGGCTGAAAAGGGGAAGGAATAGAAGAATTTCTGGGTATAATAACATACCATGCAAATTATAGGCAAATATTCAAGGCAGTGCTTCAAGTCTTGTAAACATGTTTTTCTTTTCTGTGCTTAGTAGTGGGACACCGTAGAAAAAAGGAAGAATTTGGTTGAGCCTTTTAAATTTTATTTATTTTACTCTTATTGGCCTTAAAGTAGTCATTTGTAAAACACTACTGTTTAATATTGACAAGTTTGAAAGTCACTGAAAAAAATTAAATGGCAGTTTAATGTTAACAGCTGCTTATGGTTATCAAATCCATCAAAGCCCTTCATGAATATATTAGGCGCAAACCCACTGAATTACTGCTGCGGCAGACAGCTTGGTATTTTAACATTGCTTTGTGAGAATAGATGTACTGTAAGAAGAAGACCATCTCAAGTCTGGATAGGGAATATTAATTTTGGTTGAAGGGTAAAGAGGACTGTTACCTGGAAAGAGAACCAGGTAGCATTGTTGTAAAGTCTGAAATGGGATGGTCAGTTTCCCCTTATCTTATTCCTGATTCGTAGAATCCTACAAACACAGAATTTTAAGAACTCAAATTCAGTCTGTATTAAACTGCTTATTATTCTTATATATAAACTAGAGGCCTGGTGCACAAAATTCATGCATGAGGGGGTGTGTCCCTTAGCCAGCCTGCACCCTCTCCAATCTGGGACCCCTTCAGGGATGTCCGACTGCCCGTTTAGGCCTGATCCCAGTAGGATCCCAACTGCCCTCCCCTGCAGGGCTTGGTTGCTCCCAACTGTCCTCCTCTGCAGGCCTGGTCCCCCCCAACTGCCTTCCTCTGCTGGCCTGATCACCCCTAACTTCCCTCCCCTCCAGGCCTGATCACCCCTAACTGCCCTCCCCGGCAGGCCTGACAGCCCCCAATTTTCCTCCCTTGAAGGCCTGGTCCCTCCCAACTACCCTCCCCTGCTGGCCATCTTGTGGTGACCATCTTCTTCATTGATGTTTCTATCTCTCTTCTCCCTTTCCCTTCCTTTCAGAAATCAATAAAAAATACATTAAAAAAAAAAAGGTGTAAGGAAGGAGGTTAGCTTTAGTTATATGGAGATATACAGTCATGTGCTATGTAAGGATTTTTGGTCAACAATAGACTATACACATAGGAGAATACTATATATCCTAGGTGTGTAGTTGGCTATAATATCTAGGTTTGTGTAAGTGCACTCTATGATGTTCCCACATAAAATTGCCTAACAACACACTTCTCAGAATGTATCCCTATTCTTAAGTGGCACATGACACACACACACACACACACACACACACACACACACACACTCTTTGAACTGGAGGATTTATTTACTTTTGAGAAGATAGATCATGAGATTTTCCCCCCCAGAGTCTAGAATCTTCTTTGCAGAATGCTGTGGGGCAGCTGCTATTTCTCTTGAGTTGAGATTTAAAGTTTCATCTATTATTCATTTTTATCTAATATGACTAGTTTAAGAAATGTAAAGTATGATTTGATTTCCTTCCTAGATTTTGTTATGGAAACAAGAGAAATAAGAATATATTTTTCCTAGCCTCTGTTTATTTCTCTTTCTGTCTTATAATCAATTTCAGTAACTTTAACAATAAACAGTAAAAATGATAGAGTATACAAAGCCTTGCCCAAGTGAATCCATCATGAAGCTGTGTCTGAAAATGGTTTCCTAAGCAGGGGAAATGTGTTTCACACAAAAAGTCCATTTTCTGTTATTGCCTTTTTCATTTGGACTACTAGATGCTATATATTTTAAGGCCATCTTAATAGTTTCCTGTCTCTCAGTAACAAGAATGACTTGTCATAATGAGCAGGGTAGACACTGTCCATTTGATATATCCTGAAAGCTGTCTATTTGATACAAGAGTAAATCACCTCAATTCCTTTGTGGAATGAGTTGAGTATAAATAAATAAATGAGACACGAGAATAAAAAAAAAAATCTGGCCAAGTCTATCGGAAGAAAACAAAAGGTAGGAACACCTGGAGGCCTAGTTTAATATTAAAAAAAAAATGACAAGACAAAGAATTATATCTAATAACTGTAAAGGGAGAAAGAATCCTCACTAATACAAATGCCCATGAAATAGTTTCTTCCTTCTTTAGAAAGAAAGATAATTTTGTAGTTTAAGAATAATAATTCTTTGAAGTTGGAGGGCCAATGTTATAAAATGATTCTATACTCACCTTTACCTCCACTGAAAAGAATTAGAATTTTCATTACTCTTTCCATAATTCATCACATGTCTAAATCTGAGTAGGAATTTCAGTTTTCAATTTAGGGCATGGGTTTGTTTCGGAGGTGTCTTTTTGTTGTTATCTTATATGTTTTACTTCAATTTTTGGTTTTGTTTTATTTTGAGAAGACTCTAAATGTTCTAATTTTTCCTTTTACAATTAGTGTGTGGTGTATCTTTTAGAGAATTATTTACAAAAATGTTATTGCATTTGACTAATTTTTTCTTAATGTTACTGAGACTTTTTTGGTATGAAATATTAATAGAGCTATTATTCTATGTCAGGCTTACAGATGAAAGTTATGACAAACTGTGTGCCCTATGATTCTCAAAATCAAATCTCAGGACACTTAGCATTAGAACCCCCAGAAGGCTTGTTTAAAAATGCAAATAATCAGGCCCTAGCGGAAGAAATAGAAATATGTATGTATTTTACACACACAAACACACACAAAACTAACTCCCTCCCTCCCTCTCTCTCTCTTTCTCTCCACCAGAACACGCCTTTTGGGATTTTAGAGAAAACCTGAGGGAAGATTTACAGATAGAAGACACTCAATAAGTGTTTGTTGACTAAAGGATCAGGTTGGAGTGAACATATTTTATAATTCTACTCTTCTAATCACTGGCAATTGGATCTATTTACTTATTTATTTATTTTTAATTTAATAACTCTTAATTGTTCAGATTATTACAATTGTTCTTCTAGCAATTGGATGTTTATAGATGGACAGTGGTAGCTATCCATCTATCTACCTACCTACCTACCTACCTACCTACCTACCTACCTACCTATCATTTATGTATGAAGTCAAAATGATAGTGACTAGAACTCCCCACTCTTGGTTCTCCTGGGGGAAACCAACCACCTCCAAGAATCCGAATTAGGCAGAAAATAACGGAAGAGCCAATCAGATCGCTCTCCGGACTGGCCTCTCAGGGAGAACTGGCGGAAGAGGGGACATGGTTGCCTTCACGCCATCGGACAAAGAAGGCCATACCGGCTCGGGGACGGCGGAAACTTCCTTAAGGGTTACCAGGAGAGGCGTCAAACCTCGGCGGTGCGGGTCGTTGGCCGGGTCTCCCAATCGGGAACCTTGGATGCACCGTGGACTCGGTTGCTTTCCGAGATGCCTAGGGAATGGTCAGCGGGTCTGGCGGCGCCAGTAACAAACATGGCGGCCGGAGCGTCAGGCGCGGGTCAGGTGACGCAGCCCCGGGCTCCCTTCCCAGCGGCGGCCCCGCCCCCCGCCCGCTGACGCAGAGGGGGCGTGCCCGCCGGAAGGCGGCGGCGTGCGGCGGCCGGGGAACCCCAGGGACGCGCATGCGCAGGGGCACTCAGGCCCGGCTCTCCGGCCCGCCCCTCGCCCCGCCCCGGGCCGCGGGCGGGGCAGGGCCGAGAGTCCGGCGCGGCGGCCGGCTCCGGGGACTTCCTTGTTGGGATCCCCGGCCCGGCGTGTCCGGAGTCGTAGCCCCGCGGCGCTTCCCGGACGGCCGGCCGGAGCCTAGGTCGCAGCCGCCCCCCAAGCAGATCCACGCCCCGCGCCCCGCCATGCCCACCCCCGGCAGCACCTCCTCCCCGGGGCCCCTCCCCGAGGAGGTTAGGAACCTGTTGGCAGGTAACGCGGGGAAGGGGGCGGGCAGCGCTGCGGGGCGGGGGCGGGGACGGCGAGCCGCTGGGGACAGAAGCTTTCACTCCGATCTCCGCTTCCCCGCGGCCCCGTCTTTCGCCCGGGGCCAGGGTCTGAGGGGGTGGGCGTGTGGGCGCCAGGGTGATGGGGAAGCCCTTATGGATGACTTGTGTACGCATCGTGTGTGTGTGTGTGTGTGTGTGTGTGTGTGTGAGAGAGAGAGAGGGAGAGAGAGAGAGAGAGAGAGAGAGAGAGAGAGAGAGAGAGAGAGAGAGAGAGAGAGAGAGAGAGAGAGAGAGGGAGAACTGGGAAGGGATCAGTAATGAGCAGTTTCTGGTCAGTGGAGCAGGAGAAGGGTGTAAAGAGATGTGTCTGAGTCACAGATGTCGGGGGCTATGCGATGCAAGGGTTTGTCATTTCTAAAAGTCCCAGTTTTTTCTTGAACGTTCAGTCCACTCGTGTGGAAGACTCAGAAAGGACCTGATTCTCAAATGGCCACTTGTCTCCAGCTTGAGCAACCTGTTAAAAGGGAAGGATGTGTCCGAGTCCAGCTTCCTGTGTCACGATGAGAGTGCTTCATCTTTGCACCCTCATCTTCCCTTTTTCGGTTTTGCCATTTATAGGAACTTACTTTAGGAAGTTAGAGATGCAGTTCTTCCAGGCTGTAAGCTAGGTTTGTAGATGTGTATGGTAGCTAAGGGCCAATGAGAAATTTACATTTCTTTATAAGGTAGAAAATATATTATTAGGGCAACACAAATCTTACTCTGTCTCGATGCTCTGGAATTCTTACCATTTCTCACTTTGTCATTCCTGCATCACAATTCTGGAAACTGAGTTTTGATAGTTTTACTTTAGTTGTCGCTTAAGTATTTATCTTTCAACATTGGTCATGAATATCCTGTATTAGAAGAGTTTCTTTTAGATGCCTATCTTACAGGTTGGTTATTTTAACTTGTAAAAAGCAATATCTAAAACGTGACATTTTAAGTAGTAAGTTACAGTGATAGTGTGAGACCAAATCTGATACCCTGCTATACTGTTTCAGAGGTTAGCATCATGAATATGACAGAGAGAAGAAAATCAATAGTGCATGGATGCAGACTTAGTTTGTGTGACCATGATCACAGTGTGCTGAGTGCATTTGTGGTGGGATAGTCTTTTACTCCAAGCAATGCTTGTTGTCAGTAATGGGTACCACTGAGGGGAATATTGAAAGAACTGAAAAGACATCTTTTATTCCATTATAGTGGAGTTTCACATGAGTACTATTTTATTTTACTACAGGTTACGCTTTTTGTTATTACGATGTTGGAATTGCTTAGCGTATTATTGTTTAGAGTATTATTTTAATGATCAGATCAGAGTAGCATTTGTCATGACTCCCAAACTAGATGTTACCATTTTCAGGATGTTCCAGGTCTAGAACTGAATTCCCCCCCTCTTTTATGAAGGTATGAATTTTTGAATTTAAGAAATAAAGTACAGATCTTTGGGTGCCTGCTTTTAAAGCTTGACAGCCCCCCCACAGTAGACAGTTGGCTCTATGATCTATGAGCATACATTTGCAGATAGCATGGTATGTATTTTATGAGACCCTATATTCTCTGATGCCCATATATTACAAGTGTTTCATATGGCCCTTATTTGAGTAAGCTTAGAATTACATAATATTTAAATTATCTACCAATGCTCACTTTCTGTATACATTAGCCATCTCTTTCTTTAGACAGGTAATATTCTTGCATCATGTGTGAAATCAGCATTTAGAAAGTTATCTTATGGATCTTTACAATATTTCATGTTATTGAAGCAAACTACATATTAAAACACATGAAATGTTAAAACATTACAATCTTGGAGATTATAAGTTTGCCTTACACTTTATTTTCAGAAGGTATTTTCAAGGTGTATGGCTCTGAGAAAATAATATATCTTAAAGAAATAAGTGAACCAGAGCTTTTTAGTTTTCTTTTTTTTTTTTTTTTTTAACTTATTCAAAGAAAGCTAACATTTTATATTTGACTGTAGTTACCATCTTTTTTGAGGTAGGGAAGTTTTCAAGAATAAATGCTCTTAGGTTTCCCCCAACACATTTTCCATCCGAAACAAATCTTTTGGAATTGTGCATGATGACCAGTATTGGGTGATAGTATATTGTTAAATATAAAAATTACTAAAACTATAGAAGAATTGGTATTGGTTTGAAATTTATAGATGTTACTGGCTTACCTAGTTCTTTCTTTGAAACTAAGAATAGAGATATTGGAGGTTGTGGTTAACAGTTGAGGGCTCCTGGGATGCATGGCATTGTGCCAAAATTCCAAGATAGAGAAGACAGCACCTAAACTTTTCAGGCGCTTTAAATCCCTTGCCCTCAGAAAACAAGAATATAAAGTCAAAAGATAAGAATGGACATTTTCCTTTGTTTTCTATGTGTCTTATTCAAGCCATTATGTGTCATGTGTTTTAAATATTTTACATTTCAACTGCTTGATAGGGGTAGGTGCTCAAATGGAGTCTTACCCATTTATTATTTTCTTTCTGATTATAAGACTTTAGGCTCTCCTCCTAACCCCCTTCTCATTCCTTCCCACTTAAAACCACACGTTCTATAGAAATGCAAAACCCAAAGAGGATACCATTCTTAACTGGCATTTAATGGTAGTCTTGAAAAAAGGGCCTGTACAATTGGTTACTTATTTATATTTCTATGGAATCAGTATTTAAATCTTGAAAACCTATACTTTTTATAAAAGTGTTTGAGCTTTTCTTCGTTTCCTGAATGGAAAAATGTGTACAGATTTCTGTTGTTAAAAGCAAAATTTGAACTGCATTTACAGGCAATCAATAATATTTTTATTTTAAAAATTGCGTGAATTTTTAAAAAATTAAGTTTATTGGTATGACATTGGCTAGTAACATTTTATAGGTTTCAAGTGCACGCTTCTATGACACACGATCTGTATATTGCATTGTGTGTAATTTTTTTTTCACAACAATGGAGGAACAGGTTTAGCCTGGATAATTAGAATCAAAGGATAACCCCAAATCTTGTCCATTTAATCTTCTTCTACATCCAAATATTTTGACTAGGACTAACAGCAAGAATAATCTTGATTCATGTGAGTTTTTCCTCCAGGCAGCCAAGAGAGTGAGAGGAACTGGAACCACCGGTCCCCCAACCTCCACATGTTTACTCGCCCTTTGAATACTGGAGTGTTAGTTAGTATTTTGCAGTCGGATATTCTCATTCATTTCTTTAGGACAACACATTTAAAAAGGAAAACTGTAAGGAGACATTAGTGACTTTATTAAGTTAAAAAGTGAAACCAATATTTAAAAAAAGAATATAATAGATATCAAATGCTCTGAAAAATCAAAACCAGGTCAAACAATCACTAAACAAAGTGGCTATGAGGTTCCTGTAAAGTGACCTTGAGATTTTGTTCATCTAGCAGTCTGGCATTGAAATACTGCATTTTCCCCATCTCCAGGACACTTTTTATTTTTATTTTTTAATTTTTACAAATTATAATCGATAACCCCTTTGGGGGCATTAGATAAAGAATACAATTCAACTGAAATAGAGACAGATTTTCTTTTTTTAATTTATTTTTTAACTGCTAGTAAAATATGGTTTGATTTCCACCTTTCCAAAGTTCCATTTATAATTTGGTCAACATTTTGGTTTTATTTTTCCTGTGAGAATTATTTATGGTATATCTAGTGTCCCATAACTTTCTTCCGGGGCATTGGCTGAGTATGTAAAGGGAAGAGTGCCACCTACTGAGTCACCGACAGTCACCTATTTCTTTAGCACCTGGATTTTCAGAGCAAAAACAAGCCCTTTTGGCAGTGATAACTAATGAGCATGAAGTTGACATGAGAACATTTTATCTCAAAATGAAATCAGTCTACGACAACTCTAAGATAGTCTCTTCCAGAAATAAGAAAATGTGTTTGTAAGCCAAGGGGCCAGAGTTTCGCAGTTTCTTATATGAGTCAGATTAACAGATGAATTAAGATGTGATATTGGGAGAACTATTTACCTATCTTAAGCATATGATGTCCCCCATTTTCCTTGGAGGGGACCTTTGGGGCTGGCTTGTTTTCCACAAGGCTCTCCTTCGGAGTGTTCTATTTTCAGATGACTAAGTAAGGCTCTTGATGGTATGAACACTTTTTATAGTTACTCAATCCAAACGATCACTGGTTTTCTGTTTAAAAAGTAGGGGTTCTAAATATACTAAAGAATGAGCAGTCTATAGAAATTTTCCAAATGAGTTTATCTCTACATTATCAGCACTAATGTCTTACCAGAAAGAAGACAGAAAAACAACAGAGTAGAAAAGCTTCTAGTGATTTGAAACAGTTCAGTTGTCTCTCATAAATTTAAGATTAAGTGTCATATATGGGTGATAAAAGTGGCATAGGCTAGTTTTTATATACTCATTATTCACTTAGTTTGTCTTTTTCAATTAAAGCCAAGTCTATTTTTTTCATTCCACTGAGTTTACATTTCTTTTTCAATCACATACTGAACACACGGTAATAGATGCTGCCTACCAGTGAATGTAGTGTAAATCTCAGACTCATGTGTTATTCACCGTCGCTTCTTTGAAAATGCGTGGTAAAAAGATTTTGATTATCACAAGGTGCTATTTATCAAGAGTCATCTTTTAGAGGCGAAAGATCTTCATCTCTGTCCTTCACCAGCCTACTTTTCTATCAAAATAAATTATTGAGCTTTCAAAGCCAATTTTGAAAATTTTATCAGATGATAGGATGTAAGTCTCAGGTGTGTCTTCTGTAAGAACTCCTGTGCTTGTTCATGCCTCTTCTTCCATGTTAGAACAGTCCCCAGTCCAACCATCACCTATAAACGTGCGAGGCAATCAAGAGGAAGACATTGATTAAGGCAATCGATGACTTTTCAATGAACCGTTTTCCAGCTGTGAGCATTTGGCTCCATGATGTACGTGTGCCCAGCTTAATTTTTATGTTTTCACCCTTAGCTGTTTGTGGTCAGCCATACCTCCTTTTAGCAGAGAAGCAGAGCTTGTCTTTTTGTTCCAGTGCCAGCTTAAAGTTTGGCTGGGATCCTTCCCACGTTCAGTTTGGTGATGACACCTCAGTGAATACAAACGGAAATCTGGTCCTGCTCAGAAAGCAGAGGAAGATGTGGAATTACGCAGTAAAGCCATTTGGGGGTTAGTGCGGTTGGTTTTACACTTATTGATCGGGCGCTGAGCAAATGGTAGTTGATTCAGTTTAGTTCCTGCCTCCCTCTTCTATACCATTGAGACCATCATAGAGGCCGTGTGTGTGTGTGTGTGTGTGTGTGTGTGTGTGTGTGTGTGTGTGTGGTGTGTGTGTGTGACCATCAGGGAGGCGTTGGGTGTGGGGGGACAGCTGAAGCCACCGGGTGTTACCTTTGTGACTTGTTTACAGCCTCCAGCCTGGAGTCATACTCCGGGCTGCTTGCTGGTGGAGGATGGTAGGGGCGAGTGGCCAGACATCCGCTTTCTTCCCTAGTGGGAACCTGTGCTGTGTGCTCAGCGTCAAGAAACCCAGAGTTTAATTTGTTTGCAAGAACTTAAAGACTGTCCTAACCTCATGTGGTTTCACCTTTTCATTATGTAGAGAAGTTGGTAGAGAGCAGTTAGCCTTCATGTGTGTGTCAGATACCTGTCCTAGCACGCAGGTGGCAGTTTTTCTAAGGGGAGGGTATATATGTCCCGAAAAAGCAAAGAGGACAGTTGGAGTGCCATTCGGTGATTAGGTGTGTGCTAAGGGCTGGCCTCGTAGGGGTGGTGATGGCTTGTTGAAAGGTTTCTCAAGTTAAACTGCTCCAAGATTGCTGAGCCAACGCATGATGTCATCTTTTAATTTTGTTTTCAGACTTAACATTTTCCTGCAGAGCTGTTGTAAGCCTGAGCTTACGGAGGCCCTCCCTCCCCCAGGGCTTTACAGTCTTCCCTCAGAGGAGTAACGGGAGCGAAAAGCAGCTCATTTACAGCCCAGCCCCTGGGATAACTTTCCTCCGTGATGACTGGGGGCAAAGACTGGTGGGGACGGGCGAATTCTGGGGGCCGGCGGGTCTGCCGGGGGCGGGGGAGACCTGGCGCTCTGGGGCCTCTGAGGACCCAGTTTCCCTCTCCGGGGGCCGGGCGCCCTGGTGGAGACCCCCTTCCCCGGAGGAGGCACTGCCTCACCAGGCCCGCAGGCAAGCCGGAGGCGGGCTGGCCTTTCCTCGCAATCGAATTATGGCTCTTCCCGACCTCCAGGCGCCCGGTCTGCAGCCGCCGTTAACCGCCCGTTAACCGGGGACACGACCCCTGCGGGAGGTGGGGGCTCCCGGCCGGCCCGCGGGGCTGCTCGGAGCACAAGAAAAGCCTCAGATCTCCCAGCCGCCCGGTGTTCCCGGCTTTACTGCCCGCGTTTGAAATCTTACCCGGCTCCGAGCCACAGAGCCGGGCAGAGCCAGGCCCGTCTGTCTGGCCAAGGTGCTGCCCCCAAACCCTCCTCCCAGCTCCCGGGGCGGGACCCCGGGCTGTAACACCCCCCCCCCCCCTGTCCGGGGCCTCGGACCCAGCGCCCATCTCCTCCCGGGCAGCCCGGGAGCTCCTCCGCCGGCCCGGCGCAGCCCGCTGCCCCCCTGTGCCCGGAGGCCCCTGTGCCCGGAGGCCCCTGTGCCCGCTGCCCCCCTGTGCCCGGAGGCCCCTGTGCCCAGAGGCCCCTGTGCCCGGAGGCCCCTGTGCCCAGAGGCCCCTGTGCCCGGAGGCCCCTGTGCCCGCTGCCCCCCTGTGCCTGGAGGCTCCCTGTGCCCGCTGCCCCCCTGTGCCCGCTGCCCCCCTGTGCCCGGAGGCCCCTGTGCCCGCTGCCCCCCTGTGCCCGGAGGCCCCTGTGCCCGGAGGCCCCTGTGCCCGCTGCCCCCTGTGCTCGGAGGCCCCTGTGCCCGCTGCCCCCCTGTGCCCGGAGGCCCCTGTGCCCGCTGCCCCCCTGTGCCCGCTGCCCCCCTGTGCCCGGAGGCCCCTGTGCCCGCTGCCCCCCTGTGCCCGGAGGCCCCTGTGCCCGCTGCCCCCCTGTGCCCGGAGGCGCCCTGTGCCCGCTGCCCCCCTGTGCCCGCTGCCCCCCTGTGCCCGGAGGCCCCTGTGCCCGGAGGCCCCTGTGCCCGCTGCCCCCCTGTGCCCGCTGCCCCCCTGTGCCCGGAGGCCCCTGTGCCCGCTGTCCCCCTGTGCCCGGAGGCCCCTGTGCCCGCTGCCCCCCTGTGCCTGGAGGCCCCTGTGCCCGCTGTCCCCCTGTGCCCGGAGGCCCCTGTGCCCGGAGGCCCCTGTGCCCGCTGCCCCCCTGTGCCCGGAGGCCCCTGTGCCCGGAGGCCCCTGTGCCCGGAGGCCCCTGTGCCCGGAGGCCCCTGTGCCCGGACAGGCTGGTTTCGTTGGATTCGGAAATCAGTGGGCACATGTGGGTTTTCAGAAAACACACCCACAGTGCAAAAACTTCAAAACCTGCCCGAGTCAGGGGGCACCAACAAACTAGGATTATTGCAGTCATGGTTCCCACTTTAAAGCTCTTATTTGAAAAAAAAAAAAAAAAAAAGAGGAAAAAACAACAAAACAGCAAAGCAGTTTCTACATCTTCCTGGTCTCCGTTAAGTATTTTTTTAATTAATGTTTATTAAATCACTTTAGTTGCCATAAACCCCCTTCCTGGAATAAGTTTAGGAATAAATGCATGGAGAATACTCTAAAAATATAGATCTTTCCCCCTTGCCCAATCTCTGACCCCTCCTCCCCCCACCTGCAGCCGGAAAACAAACAAAAACAAACAAACAAACAAACAGGCAGAGCTGCGTCCCAGCCCCCCTCACAGCACTTCCTCCTGCAGCACCAGAGGGACCGGGCTTTACATGCCTGCGGAGCCCTGGGAAACACTGTGGAGAGCATCGCAGCTTTGATGTTTTCTGTTTTTCCTGGAACCGAAATGACCTTTTACAGAAAACATTCTTGGGCTGCAATTCGTTCTGTTATTGCTTCCGGAGGTAGAAAATAGGTCCGGTTTGTTTAAACTTGGGCTGTAGAATGGAAATGTAAAATAGGCAATTCCATACTGGGGGCGAGGGGATTAAAGGCGAACTCGGGAGGGGAGTACCCTCGTGCCGCGTCCTCGCGGGGCCGGGCCGGGCCGGGAGGAAGAGGCGGTGGAGATGCTGCCCCTTCCCATCCGCTTTCCCGGAGATTTACGGTGGCCACCTCGGGGCAGCCAGTGAGCTCCCACTGCAGCGGCACGGCCGTCCCCGCCTGTGTGCTCCCGTGGGCGCACAATGTAGAGACAGAGGAGAGCGCTTTTACAAACGTGTTGTATTCCGTTGAACTCACGGGAGAAATCTGGGTCCCATTTGCACTGGGACCGGGCATGCCTGTGTCCCCTTCACACACATGGGCAGCGCACACAACGTGAGGCCGGCACACTCTTCCGCTTTCAGTTTTTTTGGAGACTCACTTTTAACATTAATATCAGAAAGCGGCTTTTAAAAAAGTATGTCAAGATTAAATTCTCATTCTTACACTTATCATGTTGATCTAGGGAAAAATCAGTTACACATTTATTGCGAATATAGAGAACAACAGCTTCTCAGCTCTGCTCATGGTCTCAAGATCCTTTTGCAATCAAGAATTTCAAATCGATCACATTCTATCTCAAACACTAGGTTTTAAGTTGTTCTTTGTAAGTACAGTTGAAAGACTCTTGGACTGCTTTGAAGTAACATGAAACATTATTGTATGTCTTGATGCTGCCTTTTTATCACTGTGAGTGAGGAGACAAAGTAGTTAAGTAAAGAGAAAGTAAAACATACATAGTACTTTTCTTCGCTATGAAATATGGATGGTTTGCAGTCGTATCTACTTGAAAAATTTTTATGGTATTCTCTGTATTAGAGATCTCAAAATGGGATTTAAAATTCTGTATATGAAGTTAATTTAAAGTTGTACGGTATTTCATGAACAATAAGAGTGGAGCTATTATAAAATCATACCGGTAAGGATTTGTTGGAATTTTATACTAGAGAGACCTAGATAGCAGAATAATTTAGAAGTTTATTAATTTTTAAAAAAGGATATATGGAAATGTTATATGAGGCCATAGAAATTTTATCTCCAGGTTATTATATTTTTAAACAGTGGATAAATGCATTGTTGCTACTTTATTTAAAGAAATGTTTCAGGGAGTCATACCAAGGCGAGAACACACAAAACCACACAATTGATTATCTTTTTTATTTGAGGGTGGCTGGCCAGAGTGGGTGGGGCAGGTAGGAAGGAGAAGGTTTGATTTGGGGGATCTTGGCTAGAAAAGGAGATTTATTTTTTCCTTTTAAAGCATTGAACACCTGAAAATAGATGACAATGGGAAAAACAGACCTTGCCAGAGACATTAGCTTGCACTGGCATAATATTCTGAATGACCTAGTCATACAGGAACTCACAAAATACTATTAAGTGGCAGTAACACATGGATGAAAGCTCCGTGCCTGTTTCTGTAGGAATTTGTTTTATGGGGCACCATTCTTTATTAAAACTTGTATGCTTCTTCCTGGTTTAATGATGCCAAACATCCAACTAGCATTTGCTGTGCTAAGCATAAGTAGAGCATACAGATTTTATTAGCTAACTGGTGAACAAATTTGTCCAACTTGCTATTTGAAACATACTTCAACTGTTATGCTTTGGACTGATAAATAACTATAACAGATTGTACGGATATTAACACTTATGGATAGAAACAATCATTGTCCTATTTGTCTTCACAAAAAAATTATTCTTTCTTACAATTTGTATCCTGTTTCTTATATTTTATGGTTCAGATGTTGAAGCATTTGTAGCAGACGTTCTGAAAGGGGAAAATTTATCCAAGAAAGCAAAGGAAAAGAGAGAATCTCTTATTAAGAAGATAAAAGATGTAAAGTCTATGTAAGTCACTTGCTTGCCTTTTATTATTAATGTTTTTACTTAGAAGCAACTTTGTAATTAATGTTTTAATAAAGAATTGATTGTCATTGAATTAAAATTGTAATGTTACTTAGTTGCTGTTAAGTATTTATAGAGGACAATATATATTTTCACTCTAATAGCTTTTAAAAACAGATTTGCTTATCATAACACCTTTTTTGTGAAGGTTTGTGAATATGTATTTTTGTAAGCATTCTAGCAAAATTCAGCTGTTTATTTTGTTTAGGTGAGAATATAGTTGTTTTAAATGATAAGACAGTTAGGTTGAGAATTTTAACATAAATACAGAAAATAACCACCAATACTGAAATGAATTAATGTAAATTGTAGATATTAAAGATATGTTCTGGTTTTACTACTGTAACTTAGGTTTTTAAAAATCCTTTTATTATAAATCCATAAATCTTTTGGGATTGTCATTTCAGGATAAGAGGTAGTTTTTTCTCTCCAAATATATGTTTATAATATACATTTTAAAATAGCTTTGAGTTACTGTCACTTATTAGATCTTGTTTTGATTTGTCAGTCCTCATTTTAAAATATAATGCTTTTGTTTTATTTTGCAGCTATCTTCAGGAATTTAAAGACAAAGGTAAATTTTCAAGTTTGTCAAACTTGAAATTATCTTTCTTTGTGGCTGATCTGACGCATGCTGAAATGTGATAGTTGGAATCAAAATTTAAATATCCGCCTGTATACTTAGACTTTCAAGATGAGAGTGCTAGCTCCCCCTGCTGAGAAAAAAAATTACCAAGTATATCCAGAATCTACTCTGCACGAATCTTCTGATGCAGAAATCGCCGTTAGTTCCCATTCTTAGCGTTTCTGTGTCTGAGAGTCCGTTGTGACAGAGGTTGGTTAAGAAAGGTCTGTCTTTGCAGTTACTCGTAGAATTATTTGGCGAAGCAGAGGTGAGATTGCAACCCAACGCCATTTAACGCTGCAGAGATGATTTCATAGTAGTGATGGCAGCAAGGGGCTCAGGGCTGGGTACTTGTAATGTTTTAAGGACAATTGTTTTAAAAACAGGATTAATTTTTGTCAAGAACATAAGTAAAATATTTTTTAAATGCTGGTTTTTACTGTCCTTTTGATATGCCATAGAAATTTTCAAAGAAGGAAATTCAATTTCTTTCTTTTCTTTTCTTTTTTCTTTTCTTTCTTTCTTTTTTTTTTTTTTTTTTAAATACGTGAGCATGCTGGTAACCTGATGGTCTTCCTTTAGATTTGAGAAACAGCTGCTTAGCACACTGCAAACCAAGCCAGGAAAGGCATATGAAGTGCCTGCTTTTTCACATCTTTAATTCTGTAAGGCCCATACTAGCATGATGCTAATTCATAGGTCATGACCTGAGTCCTGTGAACGCTGGTATGAGGGTCACAACACGAGGTCAGCTAACCTACGCAGAGCTAGGATCTGTGTTTGGGCGAAAACAGTATGACATCTTCTAACTGGGGCTAGCAGATACCACAGAGCAATTCATATCTCTGCCAACTGATAAGTGAGAGAGTAGTGACAGTTTCAATAAACCAAGTACTTAGCCAGACAAGCCCAAAATCAAACAGTTCACGTTAAATCATTAAGGTTGTTGTGATTGGAGGGAATGAGATTTTTTCCCCTCCATTTTAATTTTTTAACACTTAGAGAGCAGGGACACTCCTTCTTCCCGCAAATACCCACTTTTTGATAGTCTACAACAAACCCTAAACTATGGGTCTATGATAATTAGGCTTCATTTTGCTTAGCCGGATATAGAAATAATAAATTTATACGTTGTAATTGTGATAACGTTTATACATTGTACTGATTATAGGAGGAATATTAGATTTTTGCCTTTCTTCTTAAAAGCACATTTTGTACTAGGGATTATTTGTCACTCTCTCATGGTGACTTACACATTAAGAAAATTTGCAGCTAAGAAAGCATGATAATGTGAAGTCATTGGTTGCATCTGATTCAGTAATAGGATAGGAACTTTCCCTTCGGTATTCTGGTTTAGGACTTGTTCAGGTGTGTGGATATTAAAATTGCATTACTGAGAAACATTCTTGGTCTCTAAAGAGAAAGGAGGTTTATATAGTATTTGATAGAAACTGAAAAATGAGCCTAGAATAAGAGTTCAAATAACACAGAATTCAGAGATTCCCCATAATCATTTCCCTCTGAATAAGTCATTTGTAGTTCAATACTGCTGTGCTGAGTTAACTAATCACCCGGAGTGCCAGTTTAGAAGTGAGCCTGTGGATAAATGAGATGTATACCTTGGAGAAATATGAGAAGCTGAGCAATTCTATGCCATCTTACCCCAAAGTACATCCAGCTTTGTTCTAACAGGACCATTCCTGTAGTTTGTTAGGAGTGGTACACTGACGTGCACATTGAATAGTTGCAAAGTAGTTATTCACGATACGTTTTAAATAAAAATAGGGATTTATTAATGATCAGATTCTACCGGAGCACATTCATGCACCCATGCATGTTATGAAAGGGCTGCTTTTCTTTTTTCTCTTCCATATGCCCCTTGGGGTTTTGGATGGTCTTCTTCATCCAAGGTGAGCTGGGCAGATTCCTTTCATGTTTTCCTGTTCTTTCTCTTTCCCTCCCTCTCTTCTCTCAGGTCACTATGGGGTCACGATGAAGTGAACAGGGGCTGTTTTCCTCCTTGTTTCCTTTGGACTCCGGTTTGTTTCACGTACTTTATTATTAAATACCATGTTAATATCATTATTGGAGGGAAAAAGGACCAGGTAGTGAGTTCTGAAGTAGCATGAATTCATCCAGGTTTATTCATTTCTACTAAGTGAGCTATTTGTGTCTCCAAGGTACACAACGGTATAATGCCCTTCCTGACCACCCTTCACATCTCCTCCTCCCTCCACTGTAGATGCTACCCGCCTCTTGTGAGACCGAACAGTACAGACTTGACTGTTATCAGTAGTTCAGTTCTTAAAACCGTTTGAATTGACACATTAAGCTGCATAGGTCTCAGAGTAAGATTTGTTTTTAATTCCAATTTTTTTTTTTGAGGAGAATAGTTTGTATTATAAGAAACTTGTCCATTAAGTTAAGTTTTATTTGCTATTTATATCCATTTCCATAGCAAGCTGTGGTCTTAACACTCCCTTTTCATTTCTTTACTTCCTTAAGGTCCTCATTTTTATCTTTTCATATCCTGAAGTCTAGATTCTCCGTTGAGGAGATCTGACAAATTGTGACTTTAGAATAAACCATCAGTTGGTTTTTTAAATTCCTTACTTTTGCTTGTAAATGAGAAAGATTTGAATCTAAGCAATGAGGACTTATCTTGCTTAGTCTAGTCCAGTGGTCGGCAAACTCATTAGTCAGCAGAGTCAAATATCACAGTACAATGATTGAAATTTCCTTTGAGAGCCAAATTTTTTAAGCTTAAACTTCTTCTAAAGCCACTTCTTCAAAATAGACTCACTCAGGCTATGGTATTTTGTGGAAGAGCCACACTCAAAGGGCCAAAGAGCCGCATGTGGCTTGCGAGCCACAGTGTGCCGACCACTGGTCTAGTCCCTGTCACTCATTTGAAATATTGCCTCTTCTATCCAGAATAGAGTTCTTGTGTCCTTCAAATATTGAACATTACAGAATTATGGGCTAACCCTGGTTTCCTATTTTTAGTTGCCATATAGCCCAGTAGTATAGAGTATATCTGAATATAAGTTTTATGTACTAGGAATATGTTCATTTTATAATAGAATTATTTTAGACTAGAATTATGATTATTTTAGAATTTGTTCTGAGTCACATAACAAAGTCATAGGTCTCATAAATATAACTTGAAATAATTGAGTAAAGACTGTTATTGACTGAGTTGTAAGTATAATTTTCTAATATATATTAGTGTGACAAAAACTTTACGTATAGTTGTATCTTGCCCTCATGTTAGTCTTGTTCTACTCCCGTGATGACTTAGGTGTGATTATTTTCTGTATAGAATGATTAAGATAATGTGAAGATATCTATGCATGACACATAGCAGGTGTCCAGTAAATATTATATTCTCAGATCCAGCTTCATTTATCAAGAGGATTTAAGTAAATCTTAATTTATAATTCAGTTTTCAAATAGTTTTTGAGGAAATTTTTAAAAAATATATTTTTATTGATTTCAGAGAGGAAGGGGAAGGGAGAAAAGGGAAACATCAATGGTGAGAGAGAATCATTGATCGGCTGCCTCCCACAGGCCTTACACTGGGGATCCAGCCTGCATGTGCCTTTGACTGGAATCGAACCCGGGACCCTTCAGTCCGCAGGCTGACGCTCTATCCTCTGAGCCACGCCGGCTGGCAAGGAAACTTTAAATTACTAAAAGAAGGGCATGATAGTCACATGAGAAATACTTCAAGAGACGATTTTTCATATTCGTAAGTTATTTTAGTGACTTTAGAAAACACGAATTGATTGTTTTCAGTTCCTTTAGGTGCCGTAGCTATTCTTTTTAAAAATATTTCCCTCTGATTAAAAAATTAATTTTGTCCATTGATATTGTTAAATATGTATAGATTTACTTAGAAAGCCATTTTCATTGGCCTCATTGGTATTATTAAGTTAATTAATGGAATAAACTACTTTTTCAAATAGCAGGATTGGTAGGGAAGAAAGGATCCATTTTACTTTGTTCTGATGGGATCCTTAAGGAGGCAGAAAAGTCAGAAGTTTGGGTGACCTGTAATTTCTTTTCTTGTCCCTTCCCTGACTTGGTGTAAGTTCTGTTGAAAGTTAGCGCCTCAGTGAAATCTGAGCAGATAACTTGCAGCCCTCCCCCACGCCTGCATCTCTGGCTTTGCACAAATGTGGTAAGCATGTTTGAGGCTGGGGTCTGAAGGAGGAGTATGTGGCAGAGGCAGTGCTTGAGAAATGCTGTTCTTATTTGAAAACTCTGCCTCCCACTTGCACACTATAAATTAGCGCTCCTATGGTAGAAGAGTTATGAAGAGAGTCTTCTTATTTGTGGTGACCTAAATTTTTCCAAGATTTTAGAATTAAACTATAGATTCCCTTAAGAAATGACAAGTTAAACGTGTAGTTTCATCTATTTAGTTGTATTTTATTACTTCTGAAATTACTTTGGACAAATGAACTGAGTAGAGAATTAGAAATTAATTTGTTTTCACTCAAGTAATTCTCCTCTGCCCCCACATTTATCTTTCATGCTTTGTAATTTTTAGGTATATTATTTAGTTTAAGGTTTACCTTATTGTGTTTAAAATAAAACTGTATATGACAAAATAAGCAGTACATTGGTTAAATCAACCTCAATGGTGATAGAGATCATGACTGATTAGTTACTACTGTTGGGTGTTATATCTAGGCCTTTAGGGAAATGCTAATTGATGGTGAGCTGGATAAAACAGGAGGCATAATAGTGATTTGAACACAACTATTATAAATTTAAAATGTTTTTCCGAGAAATATGTTGCTATGGTACGATTAAGCCTTGGTTTTGCTGTGATATTTTAGTTGCCACTGAATATGGGAAGGGAAGTCTCGGATCATTGTTTTTTAGACTGTTAACTTTGTATCATTAATTAAACTTTTGAAAGTTGTGGGATAAATCAAATGCTTTTCTAGGGAAACAAGAAGCAGTATTAATGAGCAACAACCCCATAATTATCCTTGTGAGTACATAACAGGGACACATTCATGTCTTTTCTTTGTGCAATAACTTTTACAAAGAAGTATTTTTAAACTGATCATTAATTTTATGACCACTGAAATGAGATGCAAAATTTATGCTGTTGTCACTGGCACAGGCTCAAGGCACCACTGACATTATGTGTGATTGTAATAGCATGGCTGCCAACTAATGATTCTGGAGACATTTCATTTGAGGATGCTTTTCTTTTAGATGTCTGATTAGTCTGTAATGCTTTCAATTATGTCTGTAAATTGTATTGGATCTGTTTACCTGATGCCCTTCGTTACTTTGGAGTTCAGTTTTCTATTACACAAACTCAAGTTGAACATTTTCCTTTACGGGGATAGCTGCAAATACTCAGCCCATGGGGGGAAAACACATTGCACTACTCAACAGCGACCCCTGCGTTCAATTAAAGCTCCTTATAATGCAACAGGTCTTTATTGGATTGAAAAAATAATTAGGGAGGGGGGAAAGGAATAGATCATCACTGGAACAACAGTAAAATGAAGAAGACTATATTGAAAAATGATGTGGCCTTTCAACTTAATGCAGGCTAAAAAGGGGATAACCCTGTATAGATCCCACAAAAATCCTTATTCTTTCCTTTCTGAGCTACTTCAAGGAAAGCTTAAAAAAAGGGGAGGGGGAAATGAGTCCAGTAGCAACACTTAATTCACATTTAAAAAAACAGTTACATTTTAGATGAGCTGCAGAATGGGTATGTTTAAGACAATCTCTCTCTCTCTCTCTCTCTCTCTCTCTCTCTCTCACACACACACACACACATTAATATATATAGGCCAAATTTTTTTTTTAATAAAACAAAAACCTCAAAGGTCTTTAATATGCCATTGACCAATTTTGTGTAGAATATTCATAACTCATGTTTAATATTATTGAATTTATAGCTCTAATATTGATCTTTATGTTGTGTGTGTGCATATGTGTATGTATGTATATGTGTATGGACATACACAGAATATATAAAGTATGTTACTTAAGGATAAATTAATTCTGATTTTCTTTCTTTTAAATTGAATTTATTGGGATGATATTGGTTAATAAAATAAATGGGTTTCACATATACAACTCTGTAATTCACCATCTGTATGTTGTATTGTGTGTTCACCACCCAACTCAAGTCTCCTTCCATCACCATTTAGCCCCACCTTACATTCTTTTACCTTCCCTCACCCCCCTGATTTTCAAAACTTTTAAAGTTTTATTTTTTCAGCTTATTTCCACATAGAGCTTAATAGACTTAAGCCCAAGCATATAAATATTTTTCAGAATCCTTTCCACATATTCATTAATTCCAGTGTTGTATTTTTATATTTGTAATATGCTGAGTGCAAGCTCTGGTGATGTATTTGAAGTATCCTAATACTTTTATTTTTCCCACAGCAAGATTTATTTTATAGTTAATGATATGAAATATCCTTTGAAAATTCACCTTATAAAAGTCCCCACTTTATTAAAAATATAAGGTACTCTAGCAACTAAGAGCAATTGAGAATTTTATGATCTTTACTGCCACGTATTCCATAAGCTGTCATTCCATGTTCACACATATTTTTACTAGCACTTTATGAGGTTTTTTTTCTGACCTCATGTTTTAAATCAGAGTACTTTCTTTCCACAAGTAGAAATATTGTAAGGGATCACTGATGTTCAGTGGAACATTTTATAAGAAAGAGAAGTTAAGGTTTGAAGAATGAGTAGTATCTGTATGTGCTCCTTGCCATTTTAACGGGGGAGGAGACATCACCATGCATGTGCACTTAGTGAATCACTGAAGGCAAGAAGTAGTCTTCTCTATATTCTGCTCTTAGTGTCCTGATGGGAGATCCTATCTTTTCTTTCAGGATTAGGATGATAAATGCTGATGAAATATCAACATGATAAGGAAATAGAGATGAATATTGATTTTTTAAAATTACTTTGTTAGTTTTGTCTTGAAAGAGGTTATGTTCCGTACCAAAACTATGTTGACAAATAGATTGCTACCTAACAAATGGATGTCAGAGAATACAGATACCCCTTGGAGCGACTGGTAGCTTTAATCTGGATCTTTCAGCAACCACGGTCTAAAGGAGTTCTGTAGGTGCTTTAGGGTTCCCCGAGAGATTTCCACCAGGCTTTTTGGCTAACCCCTAAGGTAGCTGGTTTTCTCTTGAATTGTTAACAGAGAACTAGAATTGGTAACATAATTAGTATTGTATTAAGAATGTATTTTTCATTCTGTTGGATGTGGGTATAAAATGAGTGCTTATATATAACTGGGGTAGCAAATATCTGAAACCCTCTTTTTAAAAAATCATTCTAATAAGTATGTGGGAAAAATCCCCACAAGATTTAATTGTGGGGATTAAATGGCTTCAAATTAGCCAACCAGCAAACCAACCAACCTAGGATTTGGAAATCCTGTAGAAAACTGGCTAGACCATTAAGACTGGCTAGAACATTTTACAGCAGATAAAAAATAGTTGCATTTTCAAGAGCAGGAATTCCGTATGGGAAAAGCTGCTTTAAAATTCATATAAATCTTTTAAATTTAAACAAGTTTATTTACAAACTACCGTGTTTCCCCGAAAATAAGACATCGTCTGAAAATAAGACCTACTTACAGGTTTCCTTCTGAGTGAAATATAAGGCATCCCCCTGAAAATAAGGCCCCCCTATGCTAAACACGAGAGATTTGGTCCACTGATTCTGAAAGAAACGGAGTCACAAGAAATTCACCAGGAAATTCAGGAATTGGATTGTTATGATGATGTTCCAGAAGATGATGACATGATTGTCATTGAATAAATGAGTAAATTCTTGATACTCTAGGATTCACAGTTTGTCTGGTTTGTGTTGACAACTACCGTCCTACCGTACCGTATACAGGTAATAAATTTCCTTTATTTTCATTTAACGATAAATGTGTACCGTATTCTTCATGGAAAAATAAGACATCCCCTGAAAATAAGACCTAGCGCATCTTTGGGAGCAAAAATTAATATAAGGCACTTTCTTATTTTCGGGGAAACAGGATAGATAACTTCTATTTTCATTCAGTGATAGCTCACCATTTTAAAATTTATTCTAATGTTCTCCTGTGGTTTTTTTTTTTAATGAAAACAAAAAAATGTTCATGTGGCTCTGAATGATAAAATTTTCAAATATTTGGGATGATATTGGTTAATAAAATATGTATAGGTAAATGGTAAGTTGAATAATTTCTGTGTGCTTCCCATGTTTTGTCTTTGTCATCATTGTTTTGGACACACACTCTGTTTTACCCTGCTTCTTACTTTTTTATTCATCTTTGCAGAGACCATCATAATTTTAAAACTTGAATCCTTTTGTACCGGAAATAAACACATGTATGCTGACCTTCAGAAACTCTTAACTTTATCTAAATTACAGTGGATCTACATTAAAATAGGACCTGTTCTTACAGTTCAAAAGTTTTCTTAGTTTTTCCTTTATGACAGTGGTTGAATTTAATAGGAAAATGTTACCTCTTCTGACTAACGTATTTAAATGGCGAAATTGTAAAAGGGTTTTCTCTGATCCTTCTCCAGGTGATGCGGAAGATGGGGACGAATATGATGATCCTTTCTCTGGGGCTGCAGACACTATTTCATTGGCCTCAGAGAGATACGAGAAAGATGACGAAGCTCCCTCGGACGGTATGTGATATTTTCCCACAGAATATACCTCTTGACACTAACACCAAATAATGCGCCCTGTAGAGATGGTGGTCTTGTCAGAAAGCAGATGGATGCGCAGGCTTCAGTTATCTCTCCCGGAACCTTTTAAGGAACAGAGAGCTCTCTCTAGTGGTTTTCCCAAGTATGTGGTTCCTTCATTTCCTAGGAAATTTTCTTTACTGGAATCTTGAGAAGAGTGCTTGCATCATCATATGAATATTATTAGTAAGCTAGTTGGTTAATTTAATATTATAAGATGCTTGCTTAATTTTAGTATGCTGCTAATGGCTTGTTGTATTATTTATTTTATAAATAATGAAAAAGGTTTTTGATTTCCTTTTCCCTCCTGAAAACGTCATATATAATTAGTTCATAAAATATTAAATTAATTATCCCTGCATTGCCTTCTCACATTGAGACAGGTTTTCATCAAATGCTTCTTTTAATACACATTTTCATTTTTTCTGATTGTCACCTAAAACTGCCCCACACTATGCGGTAATATTATAGCGCTTTGTATTAATTGGGTTAGCAATAAAATTGAGTGTTTATCTCTTAGTAATTTTTAAAAACTTGCCAAAATTATGAAACTTGTTTTTCATGTAGTGTGTGCTTTCTCTGTTATAGCCAGTTGAGTGCATTTGTATTAAAGAGATCTCGCCAGGGTGATATGTAGTTATAAATTAAGAATGTGTATCGATAAATTAGCCATGCATATTAATTTGTGGCACTCAAAGTTTCGCAGAGACATAGAAATGAGTAATGCCTTCTGCCACTCTATGATGATCAAACTGTGCAGTTCCATCTCTAAATACAATTGCTGAATGAAAATATGCTTCCTGCAACAGAGCACTCCACATTTTATGGTATCCAGATTATTCCCTTTGGAAACATAAATTGCTTTTATGAGGTATAAAATTATGTCTATTGCAGAACAGGGATAAGTCAAGTACATGCATAAGTGATAAACATTCTAACCACTGATTCAGAACAGCACAAGCTTTTCTTTAGATTCAGAACTTTGTACAGTGTGTAGCAATAATAATCATATCCGTTTTATGTTGAATTTTACATTTTGGTAAACACTTAATTTCTATTTTGAAAGGGGTTTCCCCCCCTTTTTATTTTCTATCTACTTTTTAAAAGGACGCTCCCTGCTCTTCGGTCACACTTGCTATCCGAAAGAGAGCATCACCCTTTCTAACCTGATTTCCAAAGGCATTTCTGCTAGAAAATGTTTTATAATTGATAAAATAATACTTTCAGGCAAAATGATGAATTATTGTTTGAGTTGAACTATTTTCCAGGCACATTACAATGATTTGTTTTGCTTCTCTGTAAAATATGGATAGAAATGAGTATGTGATGTGTCTGTGTGTATGCATACATATACAAAGGCAGAATATTTTTACTCATGAGGATATATATATATATATATATATATATATATGCACACACATAAACATGTACATATATATGTATATACATGCACACATGGAATATTCATAGAATATATACACTCAGGATTTCTCAAAACAGTATAAATATTTTGATGTATAAGGGGAACTTATATGCATTCTTAAAAATATTCTTAAAAACCTAAGAAATCCAACAAATAAATATCTATGAGTGCTTTTGTTAGAAAAAGTAAATTTTTATTAATTTCCTTATTATAGAGCATTTACATAATTATTGTGTTTTCTTTTTTATGAGTAAGTTATTATGTTTATTTCATAACCAAAGAAACAGGAAATACATTGATAATATAAAACTTTTTTGTTAAAAGGTTACTTTACCAATATTTGAATATTATTTAATAACATATTTATAACACTAAATTTCTTATTAAATATTTGTGCATTTTCATTATTGTTTATGTAAGCTAGTCTTAAGCAGAATTAAAATTTAACTTTTAGTATTATTCATTTTTTGTATATAAATAATACCTTTTGATATTTTACATTTTCTTCTGAGACTAATATAAATTAAATTTAAAACTACCACTTGCACTTTTATTTTCATTCTAAAATATCTTCTAGTCATATCAGTTTTTCTCTCTGCAACTTGGATGTGTATGTGTTCTCTTTCCTTTGCTGAATAAATTTTCCTTCATTATGTGATCTCAGCCTAATGATATATTAATTATGAAAAGATAATGCATTTAACAATAAGTATAACTAAATTAGCACAGGTCACCAAAAGGCCCTTTGTCAAATCATATTGTTGTTTTGTCCTTTTGACTTTTACCTTATGGTAGGCACTAACAAAATATCTGAACTCTGATGGATGATAAACTCTAAACATGATATGTATTTTTCATAATGCTAATGTAATTTTCAAGGCACCAAAAGGTCAAACCTGCACATCTCTGTGTGCATTCTAAGTCTGTCTTTTCCTTTAATATTTCTTTTTCTCCGTTTCTCTGGTTCAAAAGTTCACTCAGTTCCCAAATGGCTACCTAATTTTCCAGTTATTCCCTCAAGCCATATGTGTTTTGGTTTCTTTATGGTTTATTAGGTACTGTAGGAAAGTAGCATAAGTTATATCTTCTAATGAAATTCAAGCACACTTCAGTGATGCTTCGACTTGATTGCTGGTAGCAATTAAATCACAGCCAAGGAGGATAATGCATAATCTCACAAGGTCCAGACACCCTATAGAAATTGAAAGGGGATGAACACAGAAGACAAAAACAAAGTCTCCCTACCCGGCCAGACATGTTGTTTCCAGCCTGCTTTTTTTTTTTTTTTTATTGGCCCACTGCCTGATTGATAGCAAAATCATAACTTGCTGCATGCTAACAGGCAGAGTTCACTTGTAGGTTATTGTGAGCTGATAAAGGGTTAGATGGAGTTTTGATTTTCGCATTGGACCTTGGTACACCAGATTAATGGAATTTCAATGAGAGACTAGAGTAGCCACGGCTTTGTCAGAGAAATAGATGGAGATTCTATAGTCATGTCTACTCATTAATACTAGTTGCCTGAAAGGTGTGCTGCTTCTCTATACAAAAGAGTTGATATAATTGATTTTTGAGCGGTGCATTGAAAAAAGTACCTTATTGATGACTAGAATTGTAACATAGATGGTGACAGATTTGTACAGGTACAAGCTTAAAAAATATTGTATTTTGCAATTTTTTCTTCTCTCTCTTTGGACATGCTTTTTATTTATATTTTTTTGAGGAAAAATGCATTTTAAAGACCAGTAGCAAAAAAAAAAAAAAAAAAAAAAAAAAAAGAGAGAGAGAGAGAGAGAGAGAGAGAGAGAGAGAGAGAGAAAATGACATGCTAAATTACCTTTTAAGAAAAAGAGGAAGAGTCTGTATTTTATTTATCGATGATGGCATGACTGCTGTTAGTTTCGTTTTGATATGGTAACATTTATTTAAAATCATACTTATTAGCAATGTCATTTTATTAGCTTTGTGCTTTATTTGTTCTAGAAAATTTAAAACAAATCATAATGGGTTCTATACTATTATAGATCACCACTAGAAGTTTTATGCTATTGTGTGTCTGGATATATTGAAATATTAATATAAATGGTACATATCAGTAAACAGATAAAAATTAAAGATAATGAAACTTAAAACCTGACAGAAAGAATATCCCTTAGTGTATACATGTTAGAATGTGTGTTTGGGCACCAAGGTGGTGGATGCAGGGTAACCATTAGATGCTACATAATGACTTGGGCGTCCATTTTTTTTTCTATTCTGAAATTATTTTTCATCCGTTTCCATCATTTGTGAAAGAAAGCTTCTAACCACATAGCACCGTGGAGGGTCCCTGAGGTGAGGGGAATGGGCGTAGTGAGCCAGAAGACATATCTGCTCTGCCTGGCGATGATGGGTTCAAGGATCCCACTGGACATTGGTTACAAATCTGATTCTGTGCTAGACCATAATCACTTTGTGGATCAGAATCCGGAACCTCTAGGGTGTGAATACAGCAAGGCTAAAATGAAGCTAAGGAGATAGAACAGTCATTTATTTTTTAATTTTTTTATTTGTACTGAATTTATTGGGGGTGATAAACAGTCGTTGATTGTCCTGGTATCTTCCTAACTAAGAATTCCCAAATAGTAACATAGGTTACTGAAAACTGTGCATTTCAAGGACATGGGTTTATATGAAAAAATATTGGTTTAGGGATGGAACTATTTTTTAAAGTTAGGAGTTTAAGAAAAAAAGTGTTTTGATCATAATTTATAAGAGTAAATAGTGATTTTTCTCCTTTGGGCATACTTTTCTTTAAGAAAATTCAGTATATAGAAATTTTGATTTATAAAACATATAAATCTCTTATTTCAAAGGAGTGCTTTAAAAAGAATTATCTCCAGGATGCCTATAAATAATGAACTCACTTAATGTCTCTAAAACAAATTTAGCTGTAAACCCATCCACACATAAATTTAATATGTAAATTTTTACACTTTACACATCAAGCTTTTGAGAAAGATTTTTTATATATATATAAAATTAGATGTAACACAAATCACTTCTTGTAAAAGCCAAACGATAGATATGCTTTACTTTTCTCTGGGTTCCAGCAGAATTTGAAACAATCTTTAAAACCAGGAAAAAAGGTTCTTTCAATAACTTACCAATTAGGGTGTCTTTTAGTATAGTATCATGTGGTTGTTGATAATTAAAATAATATATTTGTGTGTTTTTTCTGATAATTTAGATTAGTTTGCAACTTGCACGTATCTTAAAGTATATGGCATATATTACTGTTGCACTTGTGTGTTTTTTTAAAATCTATTTTAGTTATTTCAATATGCCAACTGCTAGCTTGTGTGTTATAGCAGTATAAGAACAATGATTGCTTTAGCCCTTCCGTAATGTGTATAGCATAGCTTCAAGTACTTTGGTAAAAGTGACAGGTTATAGTTTGGAGAAATGATAAAAGTAGAAGACATGTTTTTAACACTCAAGATATATATTGTGTGATTGGAGGTATAAAGTACACAGA